TCCCTTCCTCACCCCAAAAGTTGCACATTTATGGGAAGGAAGGAGCTCAACGCCCTCAGCTAAACCAAAGGTACTTCCAAGGCTGCCTTTGACAAATCAAAGACCCCAATTCCAGCTCGGGGTCTTGCTGCTCCCGGGCATGGTGGGAGCTTCCATCCCGTTCCAACTCCTCCATGGTCACTAAGGGAATGAGGAAAGCTCCACGGGCCCCCCAGTCTGGAGAAATTCCTGCTTTTAGGCACGAGGTGAAGCCAGGAATCCCAAATCTGGCATTGGGGTACTCAAAGGACCCTCCAGGGATGTGACCCCACAGAGCCACCAGCTCCTTCCCAAAAGGGACAGGGGCGCCCTGGGGCCATCCTGGGCTCTGGGCAGGGCTGTGGGTGCTATTCCTTTAAGGCACCAGAGGTGGAAAAGCAGGGCCAGCAGGGCAGGGAGTATTTAAACCAGGCTGGCAGTGCCACAGGGACACGGGACAGGGACACGGGACAGGAGGGACCGGGGTCACCCGATGGAGAATAAAGAAGTGCCCGGCACTGAGAGGAGCCTGGAGTGTAAGTAAAGCTGCAAATCAATCTCTGCAAATGCAAAACCCTCCCTGGTGCCATTTAGAGGTGGGGAAGGAGAGGAACTCGAGCCTTGAGTCACCTTTGAGGATGTTCCTCACTCGGGAGGGAAGCAGAGGTTTGGAAAAATTTCGTGTTCAGGTCTCACTGGTGAGGGGCTGATTTCATCTGAAAGAACCATAAAAACATGCTTAGGACAGTCATGGTTTCTCCTCTGCAGTAGATTCCTAATATTTAATTTCTAGGGGGAAAAAAAAGATTAATTATCATTACAATATCTGCATTAAGTTTAAACACAGAGAATAACAAATGTCAGTAAATATTACTGCATTAATCTAAATTTTGCGACTCAGCCTGAGGTCGTTGCTGCCTCTTGAATGCCAGCAGGCAGATTTTGAGATTTCAGAAGAGAATTGGTGCAGTTGTGCCCTAAAGGAGCTGCTTTCGAAGCTCCCTGAGATAATTAGAAATAGTTAAGAGGAAGATAAATAGAAACTGAKCTTAATGAACGGGCTGGATGTGGTGTCCTAAAAGTGAAATCAGAGCCCAGCAGTGAGGGTGGGGGTTCCTGCAGCCCTCAATTCCTTCTCTGCAAAGGAACATTCCTATAGATTTAATAAAATATCAGCTCATTGTAATTGTTAATGAATCCCTCCCTCTGCACTGAGGTTCCCAGTGGCCATGGGATGTTCCTGCTCCTTGCAGGAAGAGGAGAACTAAACTCCAATAATTTCATAGTGTTGGAGTTGCTTTCGCTTTCCAGCCCAAGAAACAAATGAACCACAAAGGTCAGACCTGAAAAGGAACAGGTTTGGGGGATGGGGGATCCAGCAGCTTAAAGAACCTAAAATCGGCCTCAGGTTGGTGCAGAGCGGGTCCAACAGCTGAAAGGAAATAAAACTGGGCCAGCAGCACAATCTCAGCTGGGATTTCAGTCMCTGCACTCAGGGCTCTCTGCTCATTTTGTGCAATTTCTTCTCTGGATTAGGAGKGTCCTAAAAAAYRCTGATTTCTTGATAAACCCTAATAATCTTCAGCAAGTTCCACCTYGGTGTTTCTGCATCACACAACGAGCACCTCTTTATTCCYKCYATGCTGTAAAGGAGGYATCTGTTTGGAGCTGGAAATGTTTMTTTTCTCCATGTGTTTGGGTCAGTTTGGTCTTTTATCTGGAAGGTGATTGCTCATTTTTAACCCCATGGAAATGGGGTGGATTGGTGGCTCCTTAAAACTCACAGTAAGGCAAGATAAGCAGTTGAATGGGCAATTAAAATGTGAATAAAATTTGTAAATGTAAATGAAATTTGTTGCTGTGCCCTATTTCTGGGCACAGAAACCTTCACCACCTCCTCAAAATGACAATTTGAAGCTGCACAGCTTCCCCATGGGTCAAAAGGATTTGAGGGGAAAATATCGCTTATATATAAAATATATAGAATTTTTTAAATATATATAGATAGATAGATATATAACTCTATGTTATTATTTCTCAACTGTTTGAACAACAGCAAACATTCCCCAAAAAGCCAGAAGGGCTCCCAGGCTGCGRTGACAAATGTCACCCAAATGTCCCAACCAAACCTCGGTGTTTTGTCTGTCCCATGGCCCGACCTTGACTCTGGTCATTGTCAGGAGCAATGGTTAATATCTAATGGGCTGCACTGGGCTGATCCCTGGCAATCCCTGCAGCAGGAATTCGGCAGAATTTGGGAACTGAACTTTGGTGTTTTGTAACCAGAGAGAGCACAGATTGGCACAATTCAGGGGGCAGGTCCTGGTTTCTCCAAAATCGTCAAAAATCTGAAGGAATTTCTGCTTAGCACTGACARAACCCCAAAAGCACAACAGAAACTTAGGGTAGGTCTTGTGATGGATGAGATTTTGAAGAGTCAACCCGGCCAGATAGCACTTGCTGCTGGAAACATGGAAAATATAAAAATTAAGCCATAAAATAGCTCTGGAGAGGAAGGCGATGGTCCCAACCCACCTCCAGGGAAGTGTCCTGGAAATGACCTTCCACACCTTTTTTTGTACCCCAAAAACAGCTGGGATTTCTGGAGAATAAATCAGARCAGCAGATTATTTCAATTTTTCCAAAATGGGGGAGGCTGAGCCGGGGTCCTGCTGGCACCACGGAGCTGCAGAGCAGTGAGTGACCATCAGCCACAGGAGCTGCTGCTGGCCAGGGGCAAACATCAAGGCCTTCTTTGTGCCCCATTGTTTGCTTTCTGCAGAATTGGTTGTGTTTGCCTGGCTGGCTGCTTCGGGGATGTGTTTGAAAGAGCATTTTTCATGCTCGGCGAGTTAATTATTCACCACGGACGAGTGGCCATTRAGCAACGAGAAATCACAATACAAGGAAGAGGCACCACAGAGCACTTTTCATCTCAACAGGGAAATAAAAACCCTTTTTTCTTCTGCTGGGAATTACCCTCAATAAAACTGTGTCACTTGATGCCCCAAATCAAATTATTTACCATCATCTCGCATGGGTGCCTTCCAACACGGTGCCTCGATGAACATGGAACAGGCAGGTGGATYAAGAGCTGTGCTCAGGAAATGCCCATAAAATTTTATTTTTGGAGGGGCAGGGCTGAGGTGAATCCCTGCAGCTCGCTCAGTTCCTCGGCAGCTGAGGAAAGGAAAAAGAGGTAGAGGTGAAAATATTCTCCTTTTTCTATGTGAGAAAATATTCCCCTTTTTCTCTTTTGTGTGTCCTTGGAGAGAACAGGGGAGCAAAGACCAGTCACTAAATACAGGTTTCAGTCAGGAAGAAAGAATTTCTGTGCCAGAGGGAATATTGGGGTGTTGGTTTGAGATCCATGGGCATCAMAGGCAGGAAKAGAGTTACCAACTCCCTCTTTCCCATCCCATTCCTTGACAGCAGCAATCAAAAWCTCTRTTTCTCTCCMCTTCAAGCAGCCACAACCCTCACATCCTCCAAGCAYGAAGATTAYGAGATGATGAACATTTTGCAAATGCTTTTTTTTTCACATTTTCTGCATCTTTTCCAGGGAATGCAAGAAAAATGACTTTACTGGCGCTCATCCTCCTGCTCGCCTTGCTCCCAGCTGAAGCTGTGAGAAGCAGACACCCCCCCAAGGCATCCAGTGAGTGTCACCCGTGTGGGACACAGTCCTGGGGTGGCCAAGGACCTCGGGTGGCCTTGGGAAGGGAGGAGGAGGGTTGGGAGAGCATTTTCATCTTACAGGACCTTTGGGGCAGCCAACACTGTGCAGCCCCAGGTCCACCCGTTCCCTTTAGGAATTAGGAAATTAAATTAAGTAGTAAGACCTTTTCTGTAAGAAGAGGRGTAAACAAATCTGTATGAGTTCTCCYTYTTTTGTCTGGTTTCTCTTTTTTATTTTTTCCTCATTAAGGAAGAAAAGATTACTCTTAATTTCCTCATCAAGGAAGAAAAGGTTACTCTTAATTCCTCATTAAGGCTACTCTTATTGTTATAAGGTTACCCTTAATTTCCTCATTAAGGAAGAAAAGGTTGCTCTTAAGCCATTCTGGGTGGGTGAAGGTTTTGCTGGACCAGGGAGTGACAGTCCAACACTTACTGCACCATTTTTCACACTCGTTGGGTGTGAAATGGCTCCAGACAAAGCACTGAGAAAGTTTGAAATGTTGGACATCCCCCATGGGCACAGAGGAGGCCACATTCACCCCTCTGAGGCCACTCTCCCTGGTGACACGTGGCTCCTGGTGTGGCACCAGGGACACTCACACCCCGCCCGTTGTCCCCGCAGTCTCCAGCCCCGTGTTCGGCCCACGGCAGGTCCACGGCGTGCTCGGCGGATCCGTCACCGTGCGGTGTTTTTATCCGCCCACACCAACCAACAAACAGGACAGGAAATACTTTTGCAAAATGTTGGGCTCCATCTGCGACACGGTGGTGACCACGAGCTTCGTCAAGCCCCAGTACCAGGGCAAAGTGTCCCTCACTGACCACCCCRACGCCGAGAGCTTCCAGGTCAACATCTCGGCGCTGGTGCCGGACGACGCTGGCACCTACCAGTGCGGGATTGGGGTCAACGGCCGAGGGCTGTCCCACCAAGTCATTCTCAGTGTTGCTGAAGGTAATCACAGCCTTGAAATGCCCTAAAAACACCATTTTCTCTCACTTTTCCCCCCTCTCCTTGCTAAAGAAGGCGCCAGCAATGGCCTGCCCGCTGTCTGAGAGCCTCACAACAGCTCCCTGCAGCCCCTGACCGTGTTTTTGTGCCCAGCCCCGCCCGTCCCTGAGCCTGCCGAGCTCTTCTACGTGAAACTCCGCAGCACTTGGACCGTGTCCTGCAGCTTCGGGCCCGAAACCGCCAACTGGAGGAGATACCTGTGCAAGAAGGAGAAGGACGGCTGCCGGAACATCGCCGACAGCCACCAGAACATCGATCAGGATTTCACAGGGAGGGTYCTGCTGACCTTTGAGGGGTCTCCGGGCTCGTTCAGCGTCACAATGACGCAGATGGACTGGGGTGACACTGGCTTGTACTACTGTGGGGCCGGGGAGTACGGCAAGGACGGAAAATCGAAGGAACTGGATGTCTTTGTCCATGAGGGTGAGCTGTTCCCAGAGTGTTTTTTCCCCTTCCTCTCTTCCTCCCTTCAGCAGCATCAAAAAATCTCACTTTATTTAGTATCAGCTTGAATTTCACTTTGCAGAGCCCAATTATCCACCTAGATATTTCTCCTGGATGCTTCTTCCTATAAATTTAACTGTATTATAACTATCTATATAACTATCTGTATAACTATCTATATAACTATATATATATATATAATTTAACTATGTTATTTAACTATCTATATAACTAGCTATATAATTATATATGTAACTCTCTCTATAACTATCTATAACTATATATATAATTTAACTATATTTTTTAACTATCTATATAACCAGCTATATAACTACCTATGTAACTATAACTATATCTATATAACTATATCTATATATATATATATTATATAATATATATAACTATATCGATATCTATATAACTATATCTATATAACTATATCTATATAACTATATCTATATATTTATATCTATATAACTATATATATATATATAATTTAACTATATTATTTAACTATATCTGTAACGATTACATCTATAATGTACTAAACCACCACTAAACAGAGCTTGTACCCAGGTTTAACTTTCCCAGCAGTGGGTAGCTCTCTCCCCCAGCCCAAAACTCCARGAGACAAATTCCTCCTCCCAGCCCRAGGCAAKCAAGCTTTGAATTTGTCTCCTCAAACCCCAATTCCTTAAACCCCAAAGTGACAGATGGAGATGTCCCCTCTAGCAAAAGGAACAGAACTTTGGAATGTCTGTCCACAAAACCAACAAAGCCYCAGTGAATTTGGGAAAAAGCAAGGCCTGACTGATCCTTTAGGGTGAATTCCCAGCAGTGCTGGGATGATTTCCTGCTGGCTGCACCCCTGAGCTTTGCCTGGCCTTGCTTGAGCCTTGTTTGAYGTGAAAATGTTGATTTTCTTGGGACAGCACAAGTGAGACGTTAATAACTGCTCATTTCATTCTTCTCACCAGACAAAAACTTCCCTCAGCTAAAGACCGCGGTCATCGGAAAAAATGGAAGCTCAGCGACTTTCGAGTGCCTCTACGAACCTCTGCGGAGATCCTCCAGCAGGATCTGGTGCAAGTGGAGACCTCAGGGCTGTGAGAAAATCATCGACAACGCCGGCTACGTGTCGCCCAAGTACCTGGGGAGAGTGGCCATGTTYGAGAACCAAGCCAACAAAACCCTCACCATCGTGCTGAACCAGCTGCGCCCCAAGGACCAGGGATACTACTGGTGCATGTCCAACGAGCTGAAGGAGCAGCAATCATCCACGGAGCTCAAGGTGGTGGAAGGTAAGAGCTGCGTGCTGGAGGTTCTCTGCCTGCTCTGGTGGAACAGAGCAGCCTCCAAAACACCCCAAGGGAGCAGTCGTGATTTTGGGAACTTTCCAAGCCTGAGCCCACCCCAGCAGCTTCACAACATTTCAATTTTGTTCCCAGAAATTCCACAAAAATGTGAAAATTGAGATCCATGGGCATCACAGGCAGGAACAGAGTTMCCAACTCCCTCTTTCCCATCCCATTCCTTGACAGCAGCAATCAAAATCTCTATTTCTCTCCACTTCAAGCAGCCACAACCCTCACATCCTCCAAGCACGAAGATTACGAGATRATGAACATTTTGYAAATGCGTTTTTTTTTAYATTTTCTGCATCTTTTCCAGGGAATGCACAAATATTTCTAATGAAATATTTCTTAAACCTTGCAAGAAAAGAACCATAAACAACATTTTTAGTGTTAATTTAACATCTCAATGAGCACTTCCCCTCCAAGCTGCACCCCTGTCCCTGCTGAGTGCCATCCCCAGCACGGGAACCACTCACACCAGAAATGCTCTACTTTTATTCTCACAAAATGCATTACTACATCTTCACCTACTAAAAATTCACCACATTTAAACTGTGCCTACTATTCTCACCCAACACATACACAGAACAACATTCACAATTTAGCTGGTGACTACCARCCAACATTTTTATTGGCAGATAAAGATCATACAAYAGCTGTGTCAAGCCCCTGTGGCTACAGGTGGGCTATTYCTGCTCYAGCARMAGGACTAAAAGATTCTGAGGCAAGAGATGCCAACTTCCATTTTTAGTCTTGATTCTAACTTAAATGCTGAGTAATGCTAACTTTATMTAAATACCTGCCCTAAAATGCCCMRTTTGYCCTYKCAGGAGAGCCTTCACTGAAGGYAGAGAACACAGTGCAGGCRCAAGYGGGCTCCARGGTGGAATTAACCTGCTCTTACCCYTGCAAATACTACTCCTTCGACAAATACTGGTGCAAGTGGAACGAGACTGGCTGCCCCAAGGTGCCAGCCCAGGAGCAGAGGCCAGCAGGGCCCGAGGCCACSTGCAGCACATCCAACAGGACCATGGTGCTGAGCTTTGACCCGGTGACGGAGCAAGACGAGGGCTGGTAYTGGTGCGGGGTGAAGCGTAATGGGATCTTCGGAGAGAGCGTGGCCGTGGAGCTGCAGGTGACCACAGGTGAGCCCCAGGGATGGCCATTCCTGCCCGTCCTTGTGCCTGGAAAGGTCTCTCCATCACCACTAGGCTGCAGCACCTCAAAACAGAAGCGTTGTCACCCAGCAGCATCCCAGCATCGCAGTTTGCCATCAGTGTTTTCAACTTCCCAGTCGTAAAAAACCCAGACTTAAACTTCACTTATTTCCGTGCCATTTTCACTTTTAACCCCGTCCTTTTAAATTATTTCCCTTTTAGCCCCATCCTTTTTAATTATTTCGCTTTTAGCCCCGTCCTTTTTAATTATTTCACTTTTAACCCCATCCTTTTTAATAATTCCCATGACAATTTTAGCATCGCTTGGTTTAAGCAACACCTGGCGTTTTTCAGGTGAGGAACTGATGTAGGTCAGAGATCCTGCTCTAGGGAATTCCTCATCTTAGTGAACAGGAAACCATGTGGAGCAGGAGAGGGAAGACTGGCACCACCAGCAAGGGGTTTAATTCTCAGCTTTGGTGGRGTATTTTGGGATTTAGATGGCTTTGGGGGCAAGGACATTGTTAGAAGCAGAGGAACAGTAGAGCACTGGATATCCTATATTTAACCATCCTAAATGGGTGATGGTCAAAGTGAAAAGAGAGAGAAACAACTTCATTTCATTGCTTTTGGTGGGCCAGGAGCCAGGAATAAAAGCAAAGCAAGGATGTAAAACTGGTTCTGGAAATACTAAAGGCAGAACTTAGAAATGCAAGGCTTTTTGCTTAGAAATGCTTTCTAAAGTTCATAGGCAGAGAGAGTGTACTTGAGATTTTTGCAGTAAATTCTTTGATGAGAGACCATTGCAGGCCTCGAATGTCTGTTTTGAAGAGCACCCCATGGAAAGCCAAACCCCATAGCAGCTCCACATCCACCAAACACCTCCAAATAATTTTTGTGCCCCATTCTCATGCTGCTGCTCAGTGACCACACTCCTTCCATCCTTGGGATTCGCAGGGAGCGATGCCAAGCACAGCCCAGAGCTCCTGGACGTTGATTCCAGCTCAGAATCCGGAGCTGTTCCCCCAGGAGGAGCCTACAACGACGCTGAGGTGCGAAAAGGAGCTGCCCCAGAAAGGTTGGTCCCCTCCACCCCCTGTCATTTCTCATTTTTTTGGGGTTTTTATGGGCTCACTGCGGGTGCTGTGTTTGTACACCCTGCCTGTGTTGTTTAGCAACACAAAAAGATCTTATCCCCAAAGAACTTTGCTCTAAACCCCTAAAGGGAAGATAAAAAGTGACAGCAAAGGGCAAGATGACTCAAAATTAATCTCCAGTTCAAGAAAATTGTATCAGAAGGAAGTTAGTAGAAATTCCAGGTATAAAACAAGTATTTGAAAGAGTACTTCTGCTAAGATTGAAAAGCTTTCCTCCACACATTCATGACCAAGCTGCTGATGGAGCTGTTTTAATCTGACCTCTAGCCCATATTTTTATTTGTGCTAGCATCCCGTTTATTGACTGAATTGCATCACTCACCCAGAATTCCCATCCTGCACACTCTGAGCCTGCTGCACCCTCAAGTGCATCATTTTTAGTGATCTCTGCTCCCCTCTGTTCCAGCTCTGATGAAAGCCGTGGCTCCAACACTCTGGCCTTGGTGCTGGGCCCTCTGGCTGGCCTGATCCTGATCGCTGTGACAGCTTTTGCCATCTTCAAATACCGGCAGCTGAAGAGATCTGGTGAGCCCCCGCCTGYCTGGGCTCTCAGGAGCAGCAGCAGYGTTAAATCCCAGCCTAACCCAGAGCTGGGCTGAGCTGCCCTGCTGGTGACACAACAGGATGGGCAGGGATGGTCCCTGCTCCTCCCRGGACCCCATCMGTGCTGACCCCAYCCATAGTRACCCCATGAATGGGRTTCYAAYTCCCACTGACCCCAYCCRTRSTGACCYCATYWATGGGGYTCCAATTCCCACTGACCCCATCYRTGCTGACCCCATTAATGGGGCTCCAACTCCCCCTGATCCTCCAGGGACYCCATCCGTACTGACCCCATTAATGGGGTTCCAATTCCCACTGACCCCATCCATAGTGACCCCATCCATGGGGCACCAAGCTCCCACTGACCCCATCCATGGAGGTCCAGGACCCTGATCCTCCACTGGCCCTATTAATGGGGCTCCAACTCCCCCTGACCCCATCCATCCTGACCCCACCCATGGGGCTCCAACTCCCCCTGACCACATCCATTGTGGTCCAGGACCCTGATCCTCCAGGGACCCCATCCATGGGGCTCCAACTGACCCCATCCATATTGACCCCATCCACAGTGACCCCATCTATGGGGTTCCAACTCCCACTGACCCCATCCATGCTGACCCCATCCATGGGGTTCCAATTCCCACTGACCCCATTCATGGGGCTCCAGGACCCTGATCATCCACTGACCCCATCCACACTGACCCCATCCATATTGACCCCATCCATGAGGCTCCAGGACCCCACTCCTCCACTGGCCCCATTAATGGGGTTCCAACTCCCACTGACCCCATCCATGGGGCTGCAGGACCCCACTCCTCCACTGACCCCATGCACAGGGCTCCAGGACCCTGATCCTTCAGGAACCCCATCCATACTGACCCTATCCATGGGGCTCCAACTGCCCCGACCCCATCCACACTGACCCCATCCATGGGGTTCCAATTCCCCATCCATACTGACCCCATCCACACTGACCCCATCCACACTGACCCCATCCATGGGGTTCCAATTCCCCATCCAAGCTGACCCCATCCACACTGACCCCACACACAGAGCTCCATCTCCCCGAGTTCCCAGCCTCAGCCCTCCCATAGCTTTGCCCTCTGTGTCACTCAGCGTCACCCGGCACACAGGGGTCGGATGCCAAGGCGCTCCCACCCCTGTGAGCGAAGCCTGAAGTGTTTTTCTCGTCCCTGTCACCAGACCTGGTGTCCGTGGGGAGCTACAGGACCAACATCAGCATGTCAGACTTTGAGAGCGCCMGGGACTACAGCGCCAGCAACAACGGCTACAGCGTACGGGACAGCCTGGAGACCCCCGCAGGAGGGGACGGTGAGTGACTCCATCCATTGGGATCCCAGCCCAGCCCCAGGCACTCCTGCCTTGCTCAGGGACCCTACAGCAGCCACAGAGGCCACTGTCCCCTCCCCAACCCCTTCCCTTCTCTGCCCGCAGAGTTCATCACCACCTCGGGCATTGCGGAAAGCGCCGCCGATGCAAAGAAGGTGAAAAGGGTAAGAGGAGGCAGCAGAGGGGCCACTGACCTGGGAGATGTGGCCACCTCCCCTACCCCATCCCAGGGGTGTCTCACCTGTCCCATCCCCTGCCCCATTCCCTGCCCCAT